CTTACATAGACATAAAAAATTTCATTTTAATCCTGAAAATCTTCAACATTATTTTTGTAGTAATCAAGAGACAAGGATGTGAACTAAGAGGAGTGAAAATAGGACTTTGTATGGACTTCATCTGTCTCGAGCTCTTTTTTTTTTTTTTTTTTTTTTTTTTTTAAGATGGAGTTTTGCTCTTGTTGCCCAGGCTAGAGTGCAATGGCGCAATCTTGGCTCACTGCAACCTCCACCTCCAGGGTTCAAGTGATTCTCCTGCCTCAGCCTCCCGAGTAGCTGGGATTACAAGCATGCACCACCATGCCCCGCTAATTTTGCATTTTTAGTAGAGATGGGGTTTCTCCATGTTGGTCAGGCTGGTCTCGAACTCCTGACCTCAGGTGATCCACTCGTCTCGGCCTCCCAAAGTGTTGGGATTACAGGCGTGAGCCACCGCGCCCGGCCTCCAGCTCATCTTTCACGGCATTTGCACAATGTTGGGCACTAATTGCTATTCAAATAAACTGTCATAGTGATTATCTGTTCTTATGGATGCTAAGAAAGATGTAAATCAGGAAAAAGTAGAAAAAAACAGAGTTTTAATAACACCTTTTAACAGTTCAGATTTTTAAAAACTGACATAAGTATGTAAACAAAAATTGTAGACAGCAATCTATTTTGCCAAATAATTCTTCACTTTAAAAACACGTTTCGACCATAAAATAGCTCACATTTCTCCAGAGTATTTGAAGTAGGAACTAACTGATCAATATTCAAATATACATCACTTCATGTATTATGTGTGTGTGTGTGTTTGTATGCATGCACTCATGCACACACAGATGGTGGGGGAAAGAATACATTATGGAGGATAAATAAAAAATGTTAGTTATATGTTTAAACCAACAAGATCTTCAGGAGAATTACATTATTTTTGTGTTCAATATAGTTAGCCAAAGAAGAAATAGATAACATTTTATATTTTTAGGTAGGATTTGCATTAGATCTGCCCTAACTGCTTGGTTGGTGGAAACAAGTCCAAATTACGAAAACATCAGCTTTCAGAATTGGGAACAGAGGATGCTGAAAGCTAGTTGCATTGGAAACAAGACATGGGGGATGGGGGACTTTTTGTGTACTCATAGTATCTCTGAGAAACTTAGGGATAAATTGGTACAGCTTCTGCTCTCATTTTACAAATGAAGCCCCTTTGAATGCAGAGAGAAAAGGAGTCCTTCAAAGGCTACACAAGAGGTGAAAGAGTACAGAGTGTTCTGACGCCAGGACAGGGATCCTACATCAGCCCGCTGGTGACTGTGCTTTCATAATAATGTGAAACGTGTCTTGTATCTATAGCAGTGACATTCCAACCACCCAGTCCTTAAGAGCTGGGGCCCTTAGTCCTTAGGGTCAGGGAGACAGCCAGGGTACAGAGAACACATTCTACCTGTACGTATAATTCTGCATATTCATTTCCTCTCTGTGAGGAATTCAACTGGCTTTTCCTCCCTGCTTGAATGTAAGTCTAGGGCTCATTTGCTGACACTTTTTTTTTTTTTTTTTTTTTTTGAGACAGGGTCTCACTATGTTGCCCACGCTGGAGTGCAGTGGCACGATCACGGCTCACTGTAACCCTGAACTCCTGGGCTCAAGCGATCCTCCCACCTTGGCCTCCCAAAGTGTTGGGATTACAAGCATGAGCCACTGTGTCCAGCCTGCTGAAATTCTTAAGGCATGAGAATACTACTGGAGGAATATGTTGCCTAATTAATACTACAAGGTCTGTCTCTATAGTGTACACTGGAACCTTAGAAAGGTTAAGTGACTGGCCCAAATGAGGACATTCTCTCTCAGATGCAGAGATCATGCCCTTTTCTCTGTACCACACTGCCTCCTACATTTCACAGAAGGATGCTCTGTAGCCCTTCATAGGTTGTGATGCCAGAAGGGGCAAGATTGGAGTCTAATACCATGCCACTGCTTAAGCAAGTCCTTTCTCTTAATGAAAAACCACTATAAAAATAAATATTTAGATTAGCAATCAAGGTGATCAAAATGTAAAATATAATGTGTAGGAAAAATGTCACGCCAAGTTTATGTGCTAAGGCCTTCACCTATTTTGCCATCCTGAATGGATGGACAATGTTCTATGGGAAACAGAGCATTTTTGTCTTCTTTTTTTCTTTCTCTCTCTCTTTCTTTTTTTTCAAATAGAGACAGGGTTTCACCATGTTGCCCAGGTTGGTCTCCAGCTCCTGAGCTTAGGCAATCCTCCTGCCTTAGCCTCTAAAAATGCTGGGATTATAGGCATGGGACACTACGCCTGGCCAGTGTTTTCTTAAAAAAGTATACTTTTCTTTCTTTTTTTCAAACATAAGAAGATAATTTTTTATTCCCCAGGGTTTTTTTTTGTTTTGTTTTGTTTTGTTTTGAGTTTTTTGGCCATATTTCTTACTTTTTTTCTTTTTAAGAGATAGGATCTCACTATGGTGCCCAGGCCGGACTCAAGCAAACCTTCTGCCTCAGTGCCCCCAAGTAGCTGGATATTATTTGCTATATTTCTGATGGCTTAGAAATTATATCCTCCCCTAACCACTGTCTGAAAACTTTTCTAAGTATCAAAAGTACTCATTTGGAAAAAGCAAAATTGTATTGGAGAAGAAAATGTTTTCTCAAGACAATTTAAGGATATTGAGGTGCTCTTACTAAAAAAAAATTACGTCATTGTAAGCTCCTTTCTTAGAAAAACAAATTCTAGAGTTCAAGACTCCAGAAAAACAAAGTCTAGAGTTCAAAAAAATTGTTTAAAAACAAATTCTAGAGTTCATTTCATATGCTCATATGCTCTAAGTACGTAAAATTATTACTCTATTGCCAGTTTTGTTTTTACTAAGTGATCTGCTGTTTCAGTGAAGGAGACTCGTGTTTTTTACACTTTCTTTTCCTAAAAATGATACAGCAAATATTACAAATGTTAAGTAATGACTAGACCTAACAGAAATTCCATACACAAAGCTTTAGGTTTAGTTCTCTGAAGGAGGGAAAACAAATTTAAATTACATTTTGCTGATGCCTTCATAAAAGTGTGAAATCATTTCATTTCCCTGGGTTTTACAGAAAACACTTTTAAAATGCCACAAAGATGTATAACAAGACATAAAACTGCAAATATTAACTGTCTATTTCCTTGAAATATAATTTAAACTTGGTGACTAGGACAAGAAAATGTCACATTCCTTTCTCTTGCTAAGGAAATTGCATATTTCCTTTGCAAAAATAAAGAATATGCAGTCTTCAAAAGGTATATGTGACAGTTTTAAAGTTGTTTTGTTTCACATTAAAAGTTTCTATAAATTTTCATGATTGTCTCAAAGTTGAAAAAGGAAAAGAAACAAAGAAGGAAAAGGAAAACATTATTAACCTTAGGCATACAAGTTTTGTTTTTCACCAATGTCAAAAACAATATTTATGCCATATCTGTATTTTGTTCTTTCTAAATGTTATCTTGAGTTATATAATTTTCAGATCCATCTGAGAATGAATACACTTTTAAATTTTTGCTTAGGTTTCCCTCCGTGATCTGCAATATTCTAAATCTTCTGTCTTTGCCAGGGTTTGTGAAGCAAATGCATATGCATTTTACTAAGTGGAAAATGTAGCCTTGACATGGATGGTTAACTACTGGTGAGTGTGCGGTGTTTGGTTTATGGACTAAAGGACACCATAAGCCTTGGCTGAGAACATTCATTTCATGTGGGAATTGAGTACTTCTGGGAACAGAGAGCCTCTTAAAAACATAGATTAACTGAATTTTCAGAACTCCACTGAACTGAAGTGAAGGAAAAGTTTAATGGTAATATCAAATACAGTCTAAAGACTTTACATCTATTTACTCCCTTAACTCTCATTGACTCTATTAGGTAGGCACTGCCATTGTCTCCCTTTACCGATGAGAAACTGAGGCCAGAGAATTCCAAGGACTTTGCCAAAATTCACACAGCCTCTGAGTGGTAGACTCATGCTCTTAGCAACTTACTTGGTTTAAAGTTGTGGTTGTTTATGTCTTATTGACAGAAAGAAAAGATGGACGTGATGGAAAACATCACAAGGAGTATTTATTGCATCTGAAAGGGTTGAGTTACGTATGATTTCAGAATTTGGTCCAGAGTACGTGGATTTAAAATACTCTGGGAAGGCAAAATAATGGGTCACAGGGTATAAAAGGGCCAGGCCAAGAACTCTGAGGAAGACAGGAAAGTCCCTCACTCAGCTCCCTGGCTCCTGACGGACTGGCTCAGCAATGGGCTTTGTCAGCGACCACAATGGCTTTCCTGGTTTCTGTGAAGGTTCCAGCCTAAAGAGCCAGTCAGGGATGTTGAGGAGCTATGCTTTGTCCACTTAGTAAGTATGTTGCAGGAGTAAATGTATACAACACATAGACATGTGTATGTAGAGTGTATTGTTGTTTCTTTCACTTTACTTTTTCCCCTCATTATTAACAGTACAATAAAAGTGTATGTAATACCAAAGCAGGACAAACCTATTTAATTTCTACTTTTGCTTAACAGTGAAAAGAGCTTCCTTCTGGATTCAGAAAGTTTTACTAGTTCCTTCTATGAGAATAACTTTTGTTAGCCAATTATTAATACATATTAGTTTTACCACGACCAGAATAAACTGAAGTGCATTTTGTTTATCACAATCAATGTTAAACATAAATTTTTCCAATTCCATATCTATTTATGAGAAAGATATAGTTGCATCACATACATAATTTACTGAACAGTAACACATCCAAAATACTTGAAATGGAAAATTTTCAAAGAATTCCTGACTCTTTAATGCATCTTTAAAAATTAAACTAATTTGGTCATTTGTAGCACAATCTTCCTGTATTTCAAAAGTATACGTAGTGTTTTTATAAGCATATAAGTTTATTACTAACATTATGAACTAGAATAATTTTGTGATTTCAATGGTCACCAAGTTATTTTTTAAATACAATATTTTATAGAACTCACCTTTTGCCCATTCATCCCTGGAATTCCAGGTGCTCCAATAGAACCCTAAAGAGACACATGATTAAATTCAGTTGATATCATACACAAAATATTTCAATTCTAAATTTATATTGTATTAGTTATGTAAGCCTTGCTAAAACATTTCTAGGAAGTTTTATTTTTCAGACCTTATCCACTATGTTCAAATATATAATGTAAGCAGATTCCTCAAGCTTCCCCAGAAACTACAGAGTTAAAATTAAAACTTGCTTCTAAGTATCCACTTAACTTTAATATGTTTTAAAGAAATTTACATGATAAATTGATCATACCTATCAGAGGGCCACATGGCTCTAAATTTTCATGTTTTTAAGAATAAATAGGCTTAGTTCCATCTGGAAAACGCCTACCAGTAGCAGTAACACTTGCATTTAATGAGTTAAAATACCATAAAACAAAAGGTAATTAAAATAACAACCATTTATTCTGCAGTTAAATAAGGGACCCATGTCGTAAACTCAAATTTGTTGTATTTTAAGCATTTTTCTCCCAGACTTTCAAGGAGTAAGTTTAAGCCACATGAATGTGAATATGTCTTCCAGAGTGACTCAAAAAGGTGTAAAAAATGTTATACACTGACCAGGAACAACACAACTTCTTTACAAAAAAAGTTAAGGTGTGTGTGTGTGAGCACGTGTGGGCATGTGTGTGCACATGCATAGTGGCGTGAGTATGAATGATTGGACATAGATGGGTGAGCTGGAGAATAAGAAAGCTAATTATTACCTGAGAAAAATCTATGACATTTAACTGGATACAGAAACATTAGCAAATATTTTCAAACAGTGATGTCATTTCCCTCCATTACACCTTCCATTTAGGCTCTGGAGAAACCATTTTAAATACAATGTGCTTATTCTTTGTCTAAAACTGGAAAACAGATTTTTCTTAGTAGATGTATGATATTACATTTCTTTAATAATAACGGGGAAAATATTTTTTTAAAATAGCAATTATAGACCAAAAACTCCCCTGAAAAGTAGTCTACTGAAAAAACAGTAATTGTAACGAAAACAAATTGAGATGGCAAGTTCCTTAGTGCGTTCAGTGATTATATTGAATGGGTCATTAAAGGACTTCCCAAAGCCTGAAGCAGTAATTTTATCCTGGTCGTATGTGGATTAGAGTAGCTTTACAATTTCACACCATGCTTAATAGAGACATTATTGCAAAGGACAAAGTGTTCCTATGCACAAGTTGTCTCGCAACCCATGGACTTTTACTTGGTTTGTAGGATTATGTTTCAACAGATGCCACATGCCCAGTGCTTGGGGGATAAAAAGTCTCTATCTTTGATGGATTCCAAAGATAAAGAATAATCACTTTTCCACCTGTTATAATACAATTGTTTTCTTTAGTTTTCCGCAGGTTAAATACCCCCCTCCCCGATTGAGGGGTATAAGGATGGGGGAATGAGGACTTAGTGATATTTTGTTGGCAAAATGCAATCTATTTGCTATTAAGATATTTACTACTATAGGATAGGTGTAATTTTGGAAACCCTAGATCTTCTCCATCAGAATTTGAAAAAAAAATTTGTTTTTGAGACCAAGTTTTGCTCTGTCTAACCCAGGCTGGAGTGTAGTGGCACAATCTCGGCTCACTGCAGCCTCTGCCGCCCAGGTTCAAGTGATTCTTCTGTCTCAGCCTCTTGAGTAGCTGGGACTACAGGCGTGGGCCACCACACCCAGCTATTTTTGTATTTTTAGTAGAGAAGGGGTTTCACCATGTTAGCCAAGCTAGTCTCTAACTCTTAACCTCAGGTGATCCAACCGCCTTAGCTTCTCAAAGTGTTGGGATTACAGGCGTGAGCCACTGCATCTGGCCTCTCCATCAGAATTTAATGGTCAATTCTGATGATTGTGGATAACAATGAAATGACTATCAGGAAGTCACTTTTCACGTTACCTCAGCAAGAAGGACACCAATAGGCCACTTGAATATAGTGAACCCAGTAATATCCTTTTTTTCGGCTCAGTTCCCTGGCCGTTTGGCAATCACATAATTGAGGAAGGCCATGCATTCATTTTGCAATATCAAATTATCTTTCACATTTTAAATTTTGTCATAATGTTTTACCAGTATTTGAATTAAAAATTCAATAACGGACAAGTTCAGCAGACAACTTAAAAAGAGTCTGCTCTGGATTTATTGAATTTTTTATAATGGAGTCAATTAGACATCTAATGCTCACATTATATGACTGTATTTTTAGAAAGCAGAATGCACAAACCAGACTAACTGCTTCAGCATGGCTTACAGTAGCTAATTTCATTCACCTCTCCTGCTTGCCATTAAGTCATGAGAGCATAATTACTTTCACAGTATTGTTGTTTATACTCTACCTTTTGTCCTGGAGGCCCTAGAGGACCCTAAAAAAGAAAAATAATTCAATTAACATAATATTACAGCCACTTAAGCTTAGATGACCAATTTAAACTGTCCTATTCTCTAAGATTCCCTTTGCTCTACTGAACTATGTTGACATTTCATACATCAGGAAAAAAAAGGAAAGAAAAATTTCAGTTTGAAGTACCACATGGATCTTTTCTTCTAATTTTCTTGTGAAAAACATTAAGCATATACAGCAGGATTCTGATTTGTCCTCGCTATTAAAAAATAATCTTTGCTGTTCCAGCACATGTTGTTTTTTAAAAAAATACCTATAAATGTATCACATTAATCTCATTTAAAAGGCTGAAAATACAGTCCTTAGAAGCAGTTAAAATGCAATGTAGTTTTTCAGCAAATGGACACATTAGATGACTTCTGCGCCTGCAAATCTTCAGTAAGCAGATTTGCAAAGGAAATAATTGAATGCCATTACAAAGAAACATGTTTTTTTGTTTTTTTGGTTTTTTTTTCTCTATTCTTCCTCTTAGGAAATACAGTCAACTAACCTGCACAAAAACTTGTTTACAAACTAGGGGAGGCCAGTGTCAACTATGATACCGAGTATATACTAGAAAAGGGAACAAAAGATGCTGTCAGTTGTTTCTTAGACTAAAATACTGGGTGGAGGAGATTTAGTGAGATGAATGAGAATATTTATACAGCATGGAAATGTAGCAGTTTTGAGATTTAGCAGTTTTTCAACCACAAAGTCAGTGTTGGGATTCTCTTGGCTTTATTTAGAGCAAGGCATGGCTTTGAGACAGTGGAAAATAACTCAAAGAGATATAGCTATATTTCTATTTGTATCTATTTTAAAATATAACTATTAAGCATTTTCTTCCAGTTCTTTCAAAAATATTTTTTAGTATGTTTCAGCAAAGTTATAGACACTTATCATTTCATGTTAAAAGCTCTTTATTCCATGACATTTAACTAACGACCAGCTTATTTTCAGTGTGTGACATTTCAGTTAATCAGCATGTTGCATGCCTACTCTATAACACTAAATAAAACACTAGGGTGGTTGTTAGAGGAAGATCTGTTCATGCATCCTTTTTATTAAAAATATATAATGTTTAGGAACATTCAGAGAATCTGTTCCTCATGTTATTTTGCAATCCTCACAGGAAGACTAACAATTTCCTCATATAATCAGCTTTAGGTTATTGAAAGTACACTGTGCAATATTGCCTTTATATATTTCTATTTAATTTACTCAACCAACCAACTGTTTAATGAGCTTGTTATTCGCTTTATCTGTGTGGTCAGACATTCTCTCTACTTATCTCACTCCCTCTATTTAAAATTCTCCCTGTTTTAGATTTTGCAGAGAAAATAGAGACTATCAAGTGTAAATTCCCTCGACATCTTGTCTCTCATCAAACCAAATGTATGTGTACCTCTTTCCTGTATCAGGGGAAGAAGAGCCCCTCCTCCTATACAAGGCAAATTCATCTGGTATACTCTGGAATCCATCCTTGTCTCTGTCCTCAGGGATCTTTTGCAATCAGTTACCCCTGCATCTGTATCAGAGGCTCCACTTCTTCACTAGTTCTTCCCCTTAGCATATAAACATATTTAATCATTTCCTCACTTGGGTAAATTGTTTGGGAAGTAAATGTTCATGTTATCATACCAAGTAAGGGCAGAATTTGGAGGTTGTGGTGATAGGAGATCTGAGAATCAAGAAAGGACTTGGGTTTTATCATTGTCTATCATTCCATTTTCTCCAGTGTCTCTAGAGTACTTTACTTCTTAAAATGTTGACGTTAGAAAGGAAATCATAGAACAAGGAGTACATTAATTCAGTATTTAGACTGAGAATGTGTATGTTCAATTCACAAAGGCTTGTTTCCCACTGTAAACCTAACTGCCACTTGAAAAAAAATGTTGTTCACTAAAATTGTCTCTTTCATCACATTGATATATAACCCTGGAAGGGGATATTTCAAATGAAAATAAGAGTGAATTCTACATCAAGTATTTTAATTAGAGAATAACATATCTGATATTTTCTAATTTGGTCTCTGTTGCATAATCACATAAAATCAGAGATTTAGAATGACTAATCATAACTCTGAAATTCATAAAATTAAATAAGTTGTATATTTTAACACAATATTTAATGAAAATCTAAGGATGGCTACAAAGACAATATTTTCCTTCACTGTTAGGAAACTACTGCTGCTTCTGGTAACCTCTAAAAATAAAAGCAGTTTTTAAGATTTAACATTAATTTTAAATTGGGAATACATGTCTTACAGAATTTTCATAACTATGCTGCCAAGAATATATTCACAGTTACCAGAAATGTGCATATACTTCTTTTATCTCTCTGGCAGGAAAAATGGTAGAGATCTAACAAGAGTATCATCCATTACTAGGGGGTGACCTGGGATTAAGGCAGAATAAAATATAGGACACTTAAGTACAGACAGACAGACACACACACACACACACCACACACAGACACGTGTGCATGCATGCACACATCCAGAAATACTAGTTATTTTTACTGAGCAAGATTTTACTTATATACATTTGTTTTGAGTACCCTTAGATTAATAATACCATTATATATCTATAACACTGTGGTAATTAAAGTTAAGCTTACAAATCCAAGTTTCCCTACGCAAAAATTGATTTTCAAATTAGGGTATGTTGCTACCAGTTGGTTAAGATGATTACATTTGATTAGTCTTGCAGTTTTTGGTACAAAGGTAAGTTTATAAAGTAATGGGCAAATACCATAGAAACATTCAATAATTTATCAAATCTTTTTTTTTATTTTTGTTTTTCCTTTTGAGACGGGGTCTCACTCTGTTGCCCAGGCTGGAGCGCAGTGGCGTGATCATAGCTCACTGCAGCCTCAAACTCCTGGGCTCAAGCAATCCTCCTGCCTCAGCCTCCCAAGTAGCTGGGACTACAAGCACATGTCACTATGTCTGGCTAAGTTTTTAATGTTTTGTAGAGACAGGGTCTTGCTATATTGCCCAGACTAGTCTCGAACTCCTGACCTCAAACGATCCTCTCACCTTGGCATCCCAAAGTGTTGGGATTACAAGTGTGAGCTACTACACCTAGCCTATCTAATCTTCCTTACACTTGTTTATATTTTCATCCTGCACAACAACTTGGATGAATAATGCCATAAATTCATTATTCACTCGTCAAACAAATGCTGACTATTCCCAAAATTAAAGTCAATTGTTCTAGTGATTCAAGATTTCTAAAACAATTCCATTATTGTTATCCTCATTATTTAGTAAGTTTGGATCAAGTAGATTTCCAACCTAGAGTCATAATCTTTTTGGTTCATCTTTATTAATCGATGAAGCAGTCCTTCTTTATTTATATTTGCATATACTTTGTATATAACCAGTTAAGATGAAAAAATCTAGTTTGATTTTTTCAAAATAATTTTTTTGCATGTATGTCAAGATTAAAAACTGTAACATACAGAATCTCAACATACTAAGCTACATTTCTTTAAACTCCAGAAACGTCAACTATAATTAGAACCTTAAAATACACCTATTTAAACACAGGTTCTGGGTGATATAAACTGTAAAAACTTTTTATTGAAGAATTCTGCATCATGAGTATAACTTTATCAAAAAGACAAAAACTCAAAGAGTCACTGAAAAATTCTAAACATGGAGTAACGGCACTAATCTGCATATAAATCTTTATACCAGTTTTAATAATCTTTCAGAAAACACCATGGAAAGTTATGCAAAATAAAGTTCAGATAAAAACTTGTAAACACAGTAAGAAATTATATAGTATACTTGATTTTCTTTCCAATTTTTTCTCTCCCCTGCTAGATTCCATATCTAACCATTTATGTACAGTATTCAGCATAGGGTGAGAAACTTAAAGAAACCTGATAGACCTCATGTTGGTGACTTGCTTACCAAAATCATGTTACTCGGGCCTCAGAGTAAAGTTTTACTCCTACTTCAGTCCATCAGATACTTAAGAATATCTCTATGGTCCAGCCCTCTTCTCCAGTCACATTGCTACATTCCTGTTAAACCCATTTCTCGTTCCCTTAGCTAACATAACGTTCACCTAATGACCACCCTGCTTTTGGTCTCCTCCAATCCTTTCTGCACACTGCTGCCTGCGTGAGCTTCCCCTAATAGGTTCATACCTTTCCCATACTTAAATATCTTTCAATGGCTTTTCATAGCCTTTTAGAAGAGTCTGAGATTGGGCAGTAGTTGCAGTTTTCTGTATAAGCCAGGCTTCCATAGTTCTACACCTCTGTCTGTTCCTATAAAGGGCTTTCTTCTCTCCTGTCCTCTCCTGCATCCATTCCAAATATCAGAGCTCAGAGCCCCCACCCTTGGGGTTAGGTGCCTTCTTTTGTTCTCCAAAGCACTCCTATGATGTTTTCGTAGAATTTACCAACAATAATCATAATTGTCTGGTTACTTCTTTATTCACTCTAAATTACCTTTATCATGCACAGTAGCTGGCACATAGTGATTGCTCAGTGAATCATTTTGAGGTTAATTCATTTATTCATTCACATAATAGTTTTGAAGAGCCTACTGGGTGCTATTTTGCCTACAAAATAAGGCAAAACAAAATGACCACTCAGTGAGCACTCAAAACAAAATAAGATAAAAATGCATACCACTGGACTTCATATACTAGTGAATGTAGTAAGACAGTAAACAAATAAAATATAAAATTGTGTCAGGTGGTAAATGCTAAAGCAAAGAGGGGGATATGGATTGTAAGAAGTAGATGGAATAGTTTAAATTGTGTGTGTGTGTGTGTGCGGGGTGGAGGGGGGGTCATTTAGTGAAGCTCTCAGTGATAAAGAGGTCAGGCAAAGAGCCATGTATATAGAAGGGGGAAGAATATTCCAGGCAAGGGAAGAGCAAATGCAAAGACCAAGAGTTGGGCACATGCTAAGTGTGTTCAAAGAACACCAAGGAGGCTATCAGTGAGTAGTGGGAGATGG